GGAAACTTTATGGGCTGTGCAGGACAACTCCCTGATATTACAGATGGGGACAGCGATGCCCAGAGAGATCAAATGATCTTTAGCAAAGAAATCAAGTAGCAGATCCAGGATCCAAACCCTACTCCATTTCAACTTTCCAGGCTCTTCTGTCCCTCAGGTTGTTTTCTAATATATTTATTAAATTATTTTGTTTTGACACACCAAACAACTGAGCTCTTTTATAAAGTACATTCACCATGAAAACAGTTTCACTACCAATTCTGGCAGTATGTTACTGGTACTGACCATAGCACTGATCAGAATTTTGTTGCCTCTTTATTTGGCCTTTATTTACACTACTGGAGTCTTTGTGTACGTTGTTCTTTGGGCTCTGCCTTCCTGACTTTGCATCACTTCATACAGGTCTTCTGATGTTTCCCTGGATTCTCCAGAGTATGTATTCCTTATGGCACAGTAACATACCATTCATATGTTCTAATTTGCTCAGTCAACTGAGCAGTTATTTTGTTTCCAGTCTCTTGCTGTCCCAAAAAATGGTCCATGTTAACATTCTGTACACATGGGCTCTTTCTTGTTGAAAATCACCTTTAGGATGTAGTCAGTCAACAGGCATTTATTAAACACCTCCTATGTACCAGGCACTGTGCTATTAAGTTCTAGGGACACAAAAAATGGCAAAAACAAAACAAAAACAAAATAACCAGCCCCCACTCTCCAGGAGCTCACAGTCTAACAGGGCAATATAATCCTTATAGTGAGATCCGTGGGTCAAAAGGCATGATGATTTAGTAACTTTTCCAATTAGAAGGTAAACTCCTTGAGGGCAGAGGGGAGGGCAATTCCCCCCACCTTTGTCTTTGTATCCCCAGAATCTACAATCAATCCTCAATTTTCATAGGGGTAGAAAACAGTGCCAAAGTAAAAAAATGTGAATGTTGATACACTGAAACTATGGGAAATAACACAAAAGTGAAAATGAGGTTACTAATAAAACCAGGTGAATGCTTGAAGTCGTGAAAGTTAAATGCATTAATGCTGAGGGCTGGCTGTATTTGTTTGTCCATCAGTGCATAATCCTGGGCAGGCTCTGCAAATGGACAATGAGCTGGGCCTAGAATCATGCAGGAGGAAGAATAAGCCCAATTAACTCTGAAAAAATGAATGACCTCAAGTTTCTCCCTGAAACACCAAGATTCTTCTATTGATGCTGTATGTCCAGGAACCATGGCACACTATAGTCTGAAAAACTGAAGTTGAAGATCACCCAAAGGGTCACCTCACAGCTCACAGAGCATGGTAGGAGTGAGCAGTTGCAACATATTATAAACAAGAAATTACACAGAAAAAAATTATATAAAGACTATCAGAGAAATGCATGATCTGAAAGAAAGAAAAAGATGGGCTAGTCATTAAGCAAGAGTTACATGATAAAGGATAACAGATGGATGTTCCATTGGTATCCACATATCAAAAGACCAGAGTTACATGATAAAGGATAACAGATGGATGTTCCATTGGTATCCACATATCAAAAGACCAGAGTTACATGATAAAGGATAACAGATGGATGTTCCATTGGTATCCACATATCAAAAGACCAGTATTTCCAGCACATGGGTGAATTTATAGGAAGACATAAACAGGAACCACACAGGATCCATTAGCAGTCATAGATAGGCAGTGATCTGTGTTACAGGAGGTAATATCCACATCTGATGGGGCACAGAGGCATCCTCAATGTTAAAAAAGTGCCTTGTATACAACAGGTGCTGAATAAATGCTCAATGAATTGTTGAATAAAATCGTTTTTCCAGAATGGTTGAACCAATTCCCAACTCTACTGGTTGTGAATTAGCAAATCTGTCTTCCCATGGACCCTCTAAGAGTGACTTTTCCCATCTTTCAGCATCTTTGCTAGTTAGATAGGTATGAGGTATTACTTCAGAGTTGTTTTAGTTCAATTTTTCTTATTAATCATTTTGAATATTTTCAGGTGGTTACTGATAGTTTTTATTACTTCTTTTGAGGACTACTTATTCATGTCCTTTGACTACTGGTCTATTGAAGAACAATTCAATCTTATATTTTGGCAATTCCTTGCAGATTTAAGATGTTAGAGTTTTATCAGAGGTATTTAATGCAAAGATTTTTTCCCCCAATATGTATCTTTTCTTCTGATTCTAGCTGCATTGGTTTATTAGTGTGAAAGCTTTTAAGTTTTAAAATTATTTACTCTGTTATTTGTGATCTTTTTCTTTTCTGGTTAATGATTTCCCCCATCCATAACTGTGAAAGTTACAAGCTATTTTCCAGATTTTAATGGCATTTAGATTTAGATTAAATTTATCCATTTTAGATTGCCCTCACTAATTTTGATACAGCAGTGTGTGTGGCTATATACGTTGACACCACACAATATGGGATTTTTTTTTTCAGACCTGTCCTATCAACAGGAGTGAAAAAGCTGTCATTCTTGTAACTATCTCCATTTGCCCTTTGAAATCCTTCAACATCCATTAAGGGTGAAAAGCTTTCCTCTAATTCAGACAGATGTGAAAGATTCAAGCTTTTCTAGGGGAACACATAATCCCAAATCATTACCCCAGGAAGGGGGAGGAAAAAGAGAGACAGAGGGAAAGGAAGGGGGAGAGAGACAGAGAAGAGAGCACTGACTATGTGCACAGAGGGGACAGTTCTTGCACTCAGAGAGGAAATGAAAGGAGACTGGCCTTCAGCATCCTTTTTTCCCAGGTCAGGGATGGGTTCCAAAGTCATTTTTTTTGTTTTGCATGGTCTCATTTGCTTGAATTGTGCTAGTGGGTTATTTTGCTTCTAGTTGTGACTGCTCTGTCTAGATTTCTCTTTTACTGTAATAGAATCTGCTTTAGCAGACCTTGTGCTGAGCTATCTCCAACACTGTGAATGGATAGGTTATAAATTACCATGTGTCTCAAACGAATGAAATCCAACGGCACATCGTCTCAAATGACTACACACTATCCTGTGGCGTAAAGTGACTCAACTGAGGGACTGAGCAAGAACTGAGCACACAGCCCATGAACCGGGGCATTCACGCCTCCCAGGTCTCCAGCCTGAACCCTCAGATTCCCCTGGGCATCCTCAGTTACGGTTCCTAAGAGAGAAAAATGACAGTTCCTCTCCCTCTCAACCTCTGGAAGTGGTCACAGCACAGTGAGTGGCAAAAGTGCTGGATCAGTCAGAGGAGCTGGGTTTACCAGCTCCTCTATGTAATATCCACGGGATCTTGGGCAACAGAAACAAGAACAAACTCCCAGCAATCCTGTGAAATCTTCAGTTCTCTTACATGAAATATGCAGTTCTCTTACCTGAATAGTGGGAGACTAGGGAGAGTTGGCCTCTAAGGCCCTTTTGTAATCCAAATGCAACAATTCCATGGTCCCACTCCACACTCCTCTCTTCCCCACCTTTGTAATTTATGTGGCAAAGGAATAAAACAGCAAAAACCTAATATGCAAATTCCATACAGACACAGGCCATCCAAAGGAGAGATGTGAGACCCCATTCGATACAGCTTCATACCCAACCATGAAGGTGACAAAAGGCTTTGAAGCATCAGAAATCCCATAAAGTATGAGTACATGCATACCAAGACCTGACCATTCCATTCAGAACCCTGCCGCCAAGGCTATGTGCAAGGATACATCACATCCTTCCATCTACCCAAAGCTAAGGACAAATTCTCAGAACTCTGGCACTATAGTATCCCTGCCCCCAAAGTACTATCCTACAGTATGCTACAGTTCCTAGAATCCTAGGGAAAGTTATTCAATTACTGTATATTTGAAAAGCAAGCTGTATATAATGGAGTCACAGCTTCATACATGACCTTCTCTGTTTTACTGAGTATATGGAAATGCTCATTCTAGCTAATGTGCAGAATTCTTTAAATGCAAAGGAAAAGAAAGTTATTCAAGTATACCCTGGGACAAAGGCACTCTACTCCTTCTCCTTGGTCAGTTCCAGACTGGCAGGGAACAATCCCACACCTGCTCCAAAGTACAGCACCATCTCTACATCTCAAGGTGCAGATAAATAAACATAAGGCAAGATCAGAAGGTCATAACACCTTCATTAATCCTGCTCCTCTGCCCTAATCTCGATCCAAAGCACTTCAAACAGCAACTAGCTAGAATACCAGAAGGGCCAAAATATTCTCCTCAAAAGGCTCCCAGTAATCCAACTAAGACCCTGGGCTTGGTCAATATTTTACAGCACCATATCTCACCACCATTCAAATGACCAGCTGGGAAAATATTCAGAAAAACCTTCATCCTGACCCCACTACTGCCAAACAAGCTTTACAGCAACCTAAGCTTCATTCCAGATTGCCAGGAAAAGCTTTGCAAAGACACTAAATAAAGGAAAGTGTCATCCCTCCAGGTGCTCAGACCCCAGCTCTTCTGGGGCTGAGCATTTACAAATGGAGAATCCATATCTATGTCTCTGAGGCCTTGTATGGAAATCCACAGGACAGGTTGTCTCCTTCCATCTTCTGGAAGATAAATAATTAGTCAGGCCTGCCAGAAACCCACTCAGGGTATGATTCATTAAGGAATCCTTATAGGGTCAAAGAGGAATGGTCTGCGGTCCTTAAGTATACTCCCCATAGATTCCAGGACCCAATGTCACAAGGCCACTCTAGATGTGTTACTACATAGCAGTCACTTATATCCATGGGGTCTGATGTCACTAAGATAAGCACTGATCCCAAGTTGGCCCAACTTGCTGGACAATTTACAAAAGCCTTGGACACTGCCATTCACCTACTCTCCTAGAACAACTCATAACAATTGTCTGATGAGCAGAAAAGAGTCATAATTTCCTTCCTTCAGACGAGAAGGGAGGTGAAGAAGAAGGCAGGCTAGGAATGCTGTGAGTGTGGGCTGGTAATGTGCTTGTCTTTATTTCCAAGGCTGGATTAAATTCCCTGTGATTGTCTAAATCAACAGCCAATTTTAAATTGCTACTCGGAGAAGAAAAGGAGAAAAACCTGGCCACAACCACATGGCATATGCTTCAGGATGGAAGACAAAGAGCCAAAGAGAATTTTGTACCTTGGCCTTTTCCCTCAACATTCTCAATAACTGCTTCTTCAGATCAATGTGTGCTGCATTTTTGGCTACAGGAAGAAGAGTATGGAATTCAGCACCGTCCGGCCTGACAAGCCCCAACTTCCTTAAACAGCAGGGTGAGTGCTCCTGACCTTGGGGCTGCTCCTCTAGCTCCCTGAGAAAGAAAATATACAAGGCAGGGCGGGAAAGCCCCTCTGAGCATTCTGGTGGTGTGAACACAGCTGCTGATACTCTGTCTCATCTTGACCAAGTGCTACTGAGGGTTGCTGAGTCTGTGACCAGAATATGAGAAGCACTCAGGCTCAGAGTGCCTGCTCAAAGGCAATGTGACAGTGTCCTAGGATCTGGAAGGGGAACATTTATCCAGTACTGGGAAATTCCACTAGCACAGCCTGAGGGGCAGAGAAAACGCTGGGTCCCAATGCCAGGAACCCCACTAACTTACCATTTTACTTAAGGCAGAGCATTTAATTTCTCTGAGCTGTATCTGTTCTGCTGCATATAGAGGATATGCAACTACAGAGACAAGAGACGTTGTCTGGGAGGTTTAAATAGTCCGACCAGTATGCTGCCATACTTCCCAGTATCTTACAACTCAAAGGCACTATTTGGAAGCCAGAATCCAGAGAAAGTATTTCAAATCTAAAGCAGAAATACATCTGTGTGAATTAAGGGGACAAGGTTTTTGCTTGGATAAAACCAGATGAGACTAAGAATCTAGATTTTGTAAGGCTGGTATGGCCCCAGAGAACAATGCTGTATGTCCCCAGGAGGAGGCAGCAGATTTAAATGTGACACATTCTTCTTATATGATCAAAGGGCCATTTAAACTTAAATCAGCACACTTTATACCATAGACCAGATGGCATGAAACTAAATATATTTTAAAACCGTGTTTTATGCCATGCCAATTACAGCACAGTCAGTTGGCTCATACAACATGTTCTGACAGATGCACAAGGACTTTCTATATGATTTGAATGAGCTCTCACTTCATCCTGGTTTAACAAAATGCTCCCCCATAATTGGAAAGAGGCTAGGGGCCAGCTTCAGGACATATATGTGGCATAGCCAGAACTGACTGTCTTGAAGAACTGCCCTTACATCCTCCCGACAGCTCCACAATAGACAGACCACATACAGACTCCTGAAATAAGGAAGTTGGTCAAGAAAAAACGAACAGTTGGCTGGCGGGATCAGGGCTTCCGGCCTAGAGGGCTTACAGCTGGTCTGGCTATTCATCAAGAAAGCTGAATTTAAATGGGAGACACGTTCAAAGTGTAACATGTAATAAAGCAACTGGAGCAGCAAAGGGTCTTAATTTTGGTTTCCTTTCCATCCAGCACATTTCCAGCCAGCAAGCAGAGTAAGCCGGCCTGGTGTGTTATTTGCCCTCAACATTATCACATCTGGGATAGCCCAAATTCAATTCTGTCACCCAAGGCGATTTTCCACATACCACCGGAGGCCACCCATCTGCTATAATCCCCCAGAGTCTAGTTCAAGATTTCTGTTCCTTATGGAGGTGACTTCATTAAAGTATCAGGGTCACGTGGCCCATTTCATTAGCACCTACTACTAATGAGGCTAAGATTATGGGTTTGAGACCTTGCCCCCCCCAATTAAATTCACAAAGCATTATTAATTGCCTACTGTATTCAAGGCTCTGGGAGATACTAGAGGGAAAAATCCATCAGTGTAGATGTTGTTTTTCATCTCCACCTTGTCATCCTGTGCACTTGCACCACATTTGGAAAAGGCAGCCACTGATAAGCCAGAGATCTGTTGTACCTTTATTCATCTAAATCAATTCATGGCCTTTCTCTAGCTTTTTTTCTTTTCCTCTTCCCCCAGAAACCAAGACTTTCAAAAAAAAAATTAAAAATACTGTATCTATATTATGGTGTGTCTACTCTCTCTCAGTATGGTTCACCACCTCTTGCCTATTTAGGAAACTCTTTGGAACATCTACTGAACTTAATGATGAAGTGAAATCCCAAGGTAAATTTCCTAACCACAGGAAATAGGGAGCTGGTTACACTGTAAAGCCAAGAAATCTCAAGTTTGACAGATGTCTTTGGGCCTAGAGGGCAAATAGGGTAATAAGCTAATGGGTAGATTTTGGTAATGATGCCATCATGGTTAAGTCCAACTACTTCATTACAAAGAACCACTCTATAACTCATTACAATTAAATGAATACTGATAGGAAAAAACAGCTAATGAGGCACTTCTGTGAAGATTAGAACTGTCACTGACCTCAGTGACTTATCATCAAATCTCATTGTGCCTCAGCATTTAAATCTGTGATGTGGGTGTGATGAACTCAGGCAAGAATGTCTGTATTATGCAATTAACGTTTTGGGGGTGGAGAGGAGGGGAATGACTTACACAGTGTTATTATAAGTAGTTAATTTTATTGATACCTAGAGAATGCATAGCCTACAATAGTATAATATAGACACAAGAAAATCAATGGGATATCCTCGAATATGCTGTTCTTTAGGTGGACCGTTTGACCCAAAGTACAGCACGTACCCTGAGTTGCTTTTTCCTAGGAGTACTGCATTTATTAAGGTGAGAACTCTCAACATTAAAGTCACCTAGGCACCATTAAACCCCAAAATCTCTGCTAGTTCTTCCTTGGCGTTCTATCTGGAGAGGTAGTAATGTGGAACCAGGGGAAGGACAATATCACAAAAGGATAACAAACTTTCTAAAAAGAGAATAAATACTCTGTCCCCTGAAATCTTATCCATCATTTATTCCAGGCCCAGCTCTTGTACCACCTGTGAAATCTCCTCTGATAATCACAGGTGAAAGTGGTCTCTCCTTCCTCAAATCTCACAGAACCTATTGTAACTCTACATAAACATATTTTGCTTTGTATTTTTGTATTGCACACAGATCTCATCTTTCCAACTAGACTGTATGTTCCTGGAGTGCAAGGAATGTGTTTTGGACATTTTGCCCAACAACTAACACAACTGCAATTCCTCCATACGGTAGGCATTTAATAAATGTTCATTGAATAGTTGTCTCCTACCAAGCACACTGCCTTCTCCATTCCACTTTTTCAAACCCTATCCATATATTCTTTTTTTAATTAATTGCATTTTTTTCATTTGTTAGCATTTTTCCCTCCCATCTCCCCTTCCCACTAAAACAAAAACAAAATATCTGTAACAAATAGAGTCAAACAAAACAAATTCCTCTATTGACCATATCCAGAAAATGTATGTGTCATTTTGCATATTAGTCCCTCAAATATCTGTCAGGAGGTGGGTTTTTCTTCACCATCAGTCCCTTTGAAATCAAGGTTCATCTAAATTAAGTCTTTCAAAAACTGTTCCTTTCTTACAAAATTGATGTTTCTAGTATAAACTGTTCTCCTGGTCCTGCTCACTTCATTCTGTATCAGTTCATATGAGTTTTCCCAAGTTTCTCTGAAATCTTCTCTTCATTTCTTACAGCACAATAGTACTCCATTATTTTCATATACCATAATTTGTTCTGCCACTCCCCAATTTATAGGCTCCCCCTTAGTTCTCAGTTCTTTGCTACCACAAAAAGAGCTGCCATAAACATTTTTCAGACCTCTCTCTTTCTTTGACCTCCTCAGGGGGTAAGCCTAGTAGCAGTATTACTGAGTCAAAGGGTATGTACAATTTAGTAAGTTTATGGGAACTGTTCCAAATTACTTTCTGCAATGGCTGGACCAATTCACAGTTCCACTAATAGTGCACCAACGTGCCTGTTTTCCCCCAAGTCCTTCCAACATTTGTCATTTTCCATTTTTTTAATCAACTTTCCCAATCTGATAGGTGTGAAATGGAACCTCACTGATGCTCTAATTTGCATTTCTGATTGGTAGTATTTTCATATGGCTATAGATAGCTTAGATTTCTTCCCTCCATTCATTCTTCATATGTGTCTTGTCAGTAATGCTGTAAGTTACTTCGTGGTTTGCAATCTCTTCTAACATAAGGCAGCAAGCTTTTACTAGAAAGACCCCTGGACTTAGACAAGACTCCTTTACCTCTCCAACCTTCAGCTTTCTTATCTGTAAAATAAGGATAAAATAATACCTGCCTCACAGGGTTTCTGTGAGGATCAAATGATATGATGTTAAGGTTTTGGTTTATTTTTTGGTCTGTGCCTGTGATGTCACGAATAAATGTTAAAATATCTCTATATCCATTTGCTTGTCAAGTACTTTACACAGACTCTAAACTTCATGTGGCCAACAGACTTCGTTAAATCATTTATAATCTTGTAGGAATAAACTGAAAATACAACATCAGTTATGTAGCATTGTGAAAGCCACTCCATTAGTCACTGCCCCCCCATGAAAATAAAATTAATGATAAAATAATTAAAAGCAATAAAAGTGAAGAGGTCATTAAGTATTAAACTACTACTGTTAGGTCGACTACTAAGTGGTAGAGTAAAGACAGCACTGAATTTAGAGTCTGAGATGGTTTCAAATCCTGACTCTGCTACTTAATATTTGTGTGACCCTGGGAAAGTCACTTTCCTTCTGTCGTCCTCTATTTCCTCAGATGTAAACTGAAGAGAGTGCAGTGGATGATGACTGAGATTCCTTCTGGCTCTAAATTATACAATTCTGCAATCCAAGAGGCCAGGCCATTTGCCAAATGTGTCACTTCCATATTGTTGAGTGACCCTGGACTTACTACTTTATCTCTGTCCTGAATTTGCTCATCTTAAAATAAGGAAGAATGATGTCACCTGTTGCTACCCAACCCACCTGCCCTAGTCTCATATCAGGAATATAGTATCAAGTGGAGATAATGTCACCAAGGTGCTTAAAAAAAAAAAACACCAACAACAAACCAAAATGTGTCTATTAAGATTATTAAATGGCTTGGGACTCTTACAAACATCTCCTTGTTACAGAAGGCTTTCAAAGTTAAGAAATTAATGTGCAATATGAAATGTGAACTCTGGGTTAGCACAAACCTTCCCCAGGTCTAAGTGAGTGAGTGCATGTGAGTATTTTATAACTGTTAGACAACGAGGATTTTAAATGAAGGCTCTTCCCAAAGAGAACATTGCTCTAATTGGATTTACACAAAAGTTCCATGGATAAGAGAGACTAAGATTAGAGCTCTAGGAAAGAAATTCAGCTTCACAAACATTAAATATTGCTGCTGCTGCTGCTGCTGCTGCTGCTGGGCCTATCCCAAGAGCAGAGAAGAGAAGTAAAATGACTTTTCAGGGAGAGGTCACCATTAAAGACAAACAAAATAAACATCTCAATTACCCTTTAAGCCAACCACTCTTTCTTCTTCCAACTTTGGCATTGCAAGAACATTAGAGATTCTTCTGGACCAAAGCTCTAGGCCTAGAATAATTCTTAGCACAGGAGTGTGCTGTAAATGTTTAACCACTACTCTCCAAGAAAGAAAAATGTACACTGGACATGCTTTTAAGTTTGATCTGCACTATTAATCTTCTCCATCATTTCTCAAGTCTAGACAATCAACAAAATGACAAATCAAGCTCTCATTTGTAGCATTTGCCGATTTCAGTTTGCCCAACATCACACAGGGAACAAGCCTCAGTGGCAAAGCTGAGAGTCCAACTCAGACCCTCCAGCTCCAAGTTCAGCATTCCCTTCGCTGCTCCACGGTGCTCCCTTGCTGAAGTTAACGCACAGGTCAGGCTATGCTAGGCAAACCATGGAATTAGAGGAAGACTAGTTTCAGTGGACCATGGTATGCCTGGCCCAGTCAGTTATACAGTAGGCCCAGTCCATTGTCCAGGTTTCTCAGATGAAACACATCATCCAGACACACATGGCTCAAATGGGATGCAAGGTTAAAGGCCTTTTGTTCCTGTTATTGTGATCTAATAATAGAACTGCCAAATGTACAGAGTCAAAAGGGCTCCTGTGGATTCTGTTTGTTCACTAGCCATATTATCATCTCAGGGTTATATAGAGTACAAGGCGAGGAAGGATCTCTGAAAATGGGATTTCCAATAAGAGGGACAAAACAAAGAATGCTTAAAAATTACTCAAAATACCCTCATTTCCACAATTTGATTCTAAAATCTCAAAACACATTTTCCCGATATTCCTTAAAAATTACTGATTTACTTTTACATCATCTTCATTTCCCCATATAACCTTCTTCTCTTCCCCATCCTCTGGAGAGAGCTATCCTCTGCAATAAAGAATAAAAGAGAAAGAGAGAAAAAAGACATTTATCAAAACTAAACAATTAAGTCCCATGGTATTACACTACTCCATAGCCATAGTGTTCCACCTCTTCAAAGAAGGGGGGAACTTACATTCTCATACCTCTTCTTAAAGGTTACATCTGGTTGTTACACTTACTTAGAAATGTTTCAATTTGTTTAGAGGTTGCTGTTTTTGGTCTCCCTACATACACTGTTATAGTCATTGCATACAAAATTGTCCTGCTTCTGATGACTTCACCTTGCATTAGTTCTTATAATTCTTCATTTTTTATGGTATAGTAATATCCCATCCTATTCATGTACCACAATTTGTTCAGCCATCTAATCAACAGGCATCTATTTTTTCCCAGTTGTACAGGGTAATAGGCACCCATTCTTTTTATTCAATATTTATTTTCATCCACACGAACTCATGTATCCATTTTGCACTCCTGTGCAACATAGTGCAAGGAAAATCCGGCTTATTTTAACAACAGGAAAATGGGAGTAGCAGGGTTACCTCACCATTAAGCAGGGTCCTTTTGCTTAGAGGAGAACCCAGCAATTCTAAAATTCAGTCTACCACTCCAAATACTAGCCACCCACTCCTCTTTACCTGTGCTGTTAATGTTGTGGACTAGGAAAATGGAGTAGCTCCAAGCGACAAGCTATTAACAGGGAGTCCATAAAGCTCAGGTGCCCAGAAGCCGAAATCAATCAACAAGCAATTTATTAAACACCTACTGTGAGAGGTACTAAGGATACAAGTACAAAGGATGAAACAATTCTGATTCATAAAGAGTTCCATTCTAATGGAGGAGATAGCAAATACACACACAAATATATACAGCATAAATGTACAGTAAATATACATACATATGAGGTAGTTTGGGAGGGAGGGCACTAACATGTTATTTGGGGACATCATTATCAGAGGTCTTCTATAGTAAAAAAAAAAAAACTCACCTGTCTGGATTTTTGCCGTACACCTCTTGGCAAATTTCAAATTCTTAAGAACTTTAATTTCATTAAATCCAACAGAGAAAGTTGCTAAGTCTGTGTATGTGTGAGATCAGTTTTCTCCCCCTTCAACTTCTTACTGAAGCACATGTTCATTGGAACCTCTGACTTCATTCAAAGAACCGACTTTGAGAGGGGAAAAAAATCATCACTGAATATACAGTAGCAATCATAACACCTAGACAAGGGGAATGATACTACAGCCAAATTAACGTGGACGTGTTCTCACAATTCCTTTGGGCTAGAAAGGTAGCAATTAGAAGGCTTTACAACTCATTTAGGGTGGCAGCATAGAGCCGGGGTCCACAAGAGATTCCCAGCAGGCCGGCTCTGAGTCAGTGTAAGCTAGGTCTCTAAAGGCTGTATGGGGACAAGGGCTGACAACATGAGGTCCTCATCTTTTGTGGTTTGGTTGTTTTCCCCCTACTTTGCTTCTACCTTCAGTTAAATGTACTTATTTGGAGTTTCCAGCACCTACTAGCAGGAGTGTGGTCTATCAGACTAATGGTTGTCAAGTCGACAGCCAGCACTTTCCTAAGGCTGGTTTCGTACCTCTTAAACAAATCAGAAGGGAAGATGGCAAGTGTAAGAAGGACTCTCAAGCATCATCTCTCACAGTAGAATAGGTCTTCCTTCTAAATTGGAGGCACTGGCCATCAAACACATTAGATGGTTTATGGTTGAATAAAAGTGTGGTGAAGTAAGAGGAAGAATGAGAAAAGGAATGGTTTATGCAACCCTTTGCTTGAAAAAACAGGGAATGATTTATCATGCTGTAGCTGAATGAGCCATGGATTTGGAGTGAGAATACCTGGGTTCAAATCCTGGATCTGTGACCTTCAGCAAGTCACTTAACTTCTCTAGCCTCAGTTTCCTCATCTATAAAATGAGGGGGTTGGATTAGATGACTTCCCAAGTGTACTCCAGCTTGAAACCTATGATCCTCTATGCCACTGATCTAGCCCTTTAATTAAATCTCCTAAGAGGGCCTCCTGAAAACGTTCCTTCCCATCCCACACCACATCAAGTACTGACTGTGCACCAATTTTATTTTTTTTAGCATTTTTTTAAATTTTTATTTTTAATTTCTTTTTCCATATGCTTTTGAGTTGAAAATTTTTTTCTCCTTTCCCCCCCACCCTCCCCAAGACGGCGCACAATCTGATATAGGCTTTACATTTACATGCCCATTAAACATATTTCCACATTAGTGAAGTTGTAAGTAAAAACTAAACCCAATAGGAGGAACCATCAGAAAGATGAAAGAAAACTCAACAGAAGGTAAAAATAAGTGAGAGCGATTCACTTCCATAGTTCTTTCTTTGGATGTGGACAGCATTTTCCATCCTGAGGCCTCTGGAGATGTCTTAGATCCTTGTAATGCTGAGAAGGGTTCAGTTTAACAATCTTAGTCATTGCATAACGTGGCTGTTATTGTGTACAAAGTCCTCTTGGTTCTGCTCACTTCACTCAGCATCAGACCATATAAGTCTTTCCAGGTTTTTCTGAAGTCAGCCTGTTCATCATTTCTTATAGCACAATAGTATTCCATTACATTCATATACCACAACTTGCTCAGCCATTCCCCAATTGATGGGCATCCTCTCAATTTCCAATTCTTTGCCACCACAAAAAGAGCTGCTATGAATATTTTTGTATATGTGGGTCCTTTTCCCATTTGTTTGATCTCTTTGGGATATAGCCCTAGAAGTGCTATTGCTGGATCAAAGGGTATGCACATTTTTGTAGCCCTTTGGGCATAGTTCCAAATTGTTCTCCAAAATGGTTGGATCATTTCACAACTCCACCAACAATGTATTAGTGTTCCAATTTTCCCACATCTTCTCCAACATTTATCATTTTCCTGTTTTGTCATGTTGGCCAATCTGATAGGTGTGATGTGGTACCTCAGAGTTGTTTTGATTTGCATTTCTCTAATCAATAACGATTTAGAGCATTTTTTCATATGACTATAGATGGCTTTAATTTCTTCATCTGAGAACTGTCTGTTCATATCCTTTGACCATTTATCAATTGGGGAATGGCTTGTGTTCTTATAAATTTGTCTTAATTCTCTATATATTTTAGAAATGAGGCCTTTATCAGAGAGACTGGTTGTAAAAATTCTTTCCCAATTTTCTACCTTCCTTCTAATCTTAGTTGCATTGGCTTTGTTTGTGCAAAAACTTTTCAATTTAATGTAATCAAAATTATCCATTTTGCTTTTCATAATGTTCTCTATCTCCTGTTTGGTCATGAATTCTTCTGTTCTCCATAGATCTGATAGGTAAACTATTCCTTGTTCTCCCAGTTTACTTATGGTATCAGCCTTTATATCTAAGTCCTGAACCCATTTTGACTTTATTTTGGTATATGGTGTGAGATTTGGGTCTATGCCTAGTTTCTGCCATACTCTTTTCCAGTTTTCCCAGCAGTTTTTTTCAAAGAGTGGGTTCTTATCCCAGAAGCTGGGGTCTTTGGGTTTATCAAATAATAGATTACTATAGTCATTGACTACTGTGTCTTGCATATTTAACCTATTCCACTGATCCACCTCCCTATTTCTTAGCCAGTACCAAGCAGTTTTGATGATTGCTGCTTTATAATACAATTTAAGATCTGGAATTGCTAGGCCACCTTCCCCTGCATTTCTTTCATTAGTTCCTTTGATATTCTGGACCTTTTGTTTTTCCAAATGAATCTTGTTATTATTTTTCTAACTCTATAAAATAATTTTTTGGTAGTTTGATTGGTATGGCACTGAATAAGTAAATTAGCTTAGGTAGGATTGTCATTTTTATTATATTAGCTCGGCCTACCCATGAGCAACTGATGTTTTTCCAATTATTTAGATCTGATTTTATTTATGTGAAAAGTGTTTTGTAATTGTGTTCAT